GCAAAGAGTATAAGACCTTTGACAGCCCTGTAGTCTCGCTGGAACGAGTGTGAACTTTTCGGAGAAAATTAATTAGAAAATATTCGTCATCAATTTTTACAAAGAAGAACAAATTTCGAATTATGAATTATAAAATGTCTTATAAAATTTGCCAGGAATATGTGGAGTTATTTAACATATATCAATGGCAAAACTGGCGAAAAATACAAAATGCACGGAGGCATAATTAATGCGTCCAAACGATTAGTCAGAACAGAAACTCCTGAGGGAAGAGAGACCATTTGGATGACATATACAGAGTGTCCCATCTAACGTGGAACCGGCCACGACAGCATGCCGCAGTAGCAGCATAACAAATCCGTCGCATGCTAGTTACGTGGGACATTTTATACAGTAAATATCACCACTAATTCATAGCTGATGTATTTTTAATGTTGCATTTTTTCGGTCTTCAGAGAGTGAACGCCGTTTCGACAGAAAAATAAAGCAAAATTCGTATTTTGATTTAATAAAATCACAGCTTCTGAAAATGTCACCTCGTTCATTGAAAAAAAAACTTTCGACTAAACAGGATTAAATATTTTCAACGCAACCCCTCCGCAAAATATATTCATTTTAATTTCAGAGTTATAATTTCGTTAAAACGGAATCTAATTTTGACCCACCCTGTATACTGGGATATACGACGAGACAGTTAATAATGTTTCCTTCTCAAAACACAATACTAATCTTTTGCAAACAAAGAGCTATAAACATTGTTGGAATATACCTCGCGTGCTGTCTTGAAGCATTTTAAACCGACATCGGCACTACCTCCATAAACTTGTATTAAAATATCTGTCTTCTGCGTTGTCTGTTGGGGTCCGAGCATCTCTGAAACGTCGTTAAACTTCTACCATACAACAGGGAGCAACAACCCAGAAGACAGCCAATTTAACAATCGCCACCATGAAAACCTAAACATCTCAATTAATCTTGTGTTACTTTTCAACGTCTCCACGAAACGATTAAGAGACGCGAACAAATCTCTGCAATAAGACAATAGACACAGGACTTGAAACTCCAGTGTCATTCTTCAGTTACATTATTAAAACATTCCGCCGGTATTTTTTTTTCCCGGTGCTGCTGAATTCGCAAGACACAAAGGGCCGCAGACTCCGTAACAACACACAGCCAACTTCCTGTTAATTCTTGGCAAGGTCTCGCCATTTCATTATGAGCTTTTCCCGTTATCGCAAGTTCAAAGCACTGGCAGACATTCAGAGCATCGCCAGCCCTCGTTTCGAGTAAAAACTAAAACACGTCACGTTACCACTTGCTTCAGACATTTCTATACGATGATGGAGGCAGCAAGAACCTCTGAAACTTTGGTGGACATCTACCAGACTACGCGGCGCTACAACCCAGAAGAGTGGGTTTATAGCTACTCGGGCAATTTCAGTCTGTATACTAGTTAAAACATGCTTTTCTACAATTGAAAAAGTAAATGAAAGGCAACAATGGAACAAACACGTTTTTCCAGTCATCTACCGGTTTCTGCCGTCAACCCATTGTTACAATAGTAATTCTTATGTCTCTTGAACAATTTCTCAGCACGAGGATTTCCAGAAATCATTTCGCAACGGTAAATTAAAAGCTACAAAACGATCCAGAATGCAGTGACGACTGGAATCTGTCCATATTGTTGCCTCGAAGTGGCTGTCATCAGAATTCTGTGAAATAGAAATACGCGTATCTAACGACGGAACTGACTGTGAGAGCAACAGCGGAACATGTAGGAT